GCGACGTGGAGATGCAACCAGGGCGGAAGGGGGGGGGGGGGGGGGGGACACTCTTATGGTCTAATCAAGAAAAAAATAATTTCACAACCGCACTGTAAGCAAAGTTCAAAACATATATATATACATGTCCGGTAACTAAAGGGTTAGTTAGAATTTCTGTTCTTCAAATTCAAAATCTATGGTTTCTTGTATAGAAAATAAATCAAAAGTAAATCTTTTTTTTTGTTAAACAAAGATTTGCAATGACGAAATTTATTTGTAGAATAACACGTCTTCATTTATCAGAAGATTTTCATCAAGAAGAAGTCGAATTTAATCCATGTATATTCAATTCAATTGTTTCAATGCTTGTTGTAAATCAACTTCATAAGTCATCTTCAATTCTTTTAATAGTTATTCGATTTTATGAACGTGTTTCAACAATGTCAAATCCTTCATTACTTTATTTACGTTTATTTCAAGCATCATATGGTGGTTATTTATCATCGATATCAACAAATAATAGTGAATATCAACAACGTTGGTCAGCATTTATATTTTTTCAATTACCACGTTTATTATCATCAAGTATTGAAACACATATTGATCATGTTAAACAAGCTATAGAAAATTTTTTATTACATAATGAATATTTACTTAATCGAATGGATGAATTATGTTTAGAAAATGTTTTAGAACAAATATTACAAACAACAATAAATTATATTAAAAATGATATACGAGAAAAAAATCAAAATAAATTAAATCAATTAATTTTCTATATACAAAATGCTCGTGGACCATTTGTTAAACGAATTCAAGAATATTTTCGTAATCAACAAACACGTTAGTTCAATTGTGTTGTGTTTTTCTTTATTTTTAATGAATTTATTTAATTTTTATAGATTCATATTCATATCAAATTCTTCAATTACAACGTTCTCTTGAACAATCTTTATATAAAATATTTTCATCAAATTTATCATCAAATAATGAAGAAAATTTACAAATATTAATTAATAATTTAACTGAATATATTCCATTAATATGTGCACTTGATCAATATTATTCATTTATACGTTTACTTTTATCATATACACAAACACAATTTGATCTTGCTATATTAATACTTTGTTATATAACATCAATCACTGATGATATATCAGAAGATTTTGGTCATTTAGATCTTAATTATGATAAATCATCATCATCATTTATTATTTATATATGGTTAAAAAAATATTGGTTATCACGTTATCTTGGTCATGCTTTATTTTCATCATCACTTGATTCAATTGAATTATTATCAACAAATAATAATACATTTAGTGATTTATCATTAAATGAAAAAGAAGAATTTTTAAATGAAATTCGAACATCAAATAATGAAAATATTCAAAGAAAATATTCAAATATTGAATATTTATCAAAAACAATATATTTACTTGGAGAACTTCCATCATTATCATTAGATGAAACAAAACAAATAGTTTCAGCATTAATTATATATTTAACACAAGTATCATATGGTTCACTTGTACATGTACTACTTTGGCTTATTGCAAATTATCAAATTGCTAATGATGATGAAAGAGTATGGATTCAAAATATTATTCATACTATGGGTAAATATATAAAATCATTTATTGAACTTCAAAGAATAACATAGGATTCTATTTAATAGAGTTTCAAAATATAACACATTAATTCTAGAATTTCTATTTAGTACCGATTGTTATTCACTAAAAGCGAAAAAACTCTAGCTAACATACAAGAATC